AACTGTTTATTCTCATACTTGAGGCATCTGATCTCCTGTTTGAGACTTATCACTTCAGCCGCCAATGATTCAACTTGGCGGGTTCGAGGAAATAGGCGTTGAGCAATATTAGACACAAAACCTGCACATTGAACACTGAGAGCCAGAGAATCCTTAACAGCCAACTCATCAGATCGTTTGGAAAGTAGTCTATTATCTTTAAGAGTGAGAAGGTTCTTGGCCACCACCGCAGCGGTCATATCATTTTTTTCATAGAGTTCCCAACGGTAAGAGGACCAGTAGGGGATAAGAAGGATGATCGCCATATGTTGTCTTGAGAAGGCATAACTGCCTCTTCACCAAAGTTCAAGTCAAAATGACGATCGGATGGGCCATACATTCTCAGAAATGATGAAGGAAAAATGAGGTGCAATAAATCTCTTAAGTATAAAAATAAGGGGAATTTTCTAAAAGCAATAACTCTTTGAATGTACTTCTTGCACACAATTGGTGCCCTTATAAAAGAAAGGGCAATAAGGCCGTTGGTTCAAAAATTGAAGAGGCACCACTCTCCACATGCAACATCAGCTCCTCGGGTACCACAGATAACTTTGCCAAAGATCTCTGACAAAGTTTAGACACATAAATTTTGAAGGTCCAGCTACCCTACTATTACCCACAATGGTAAAGGAACAACACCACTACTTGATAACTGAAAAGTCCCTATGTGTCAACCTTCGTGCTTCGTGGCAAGGCAGACTGGCAAAAATGTATAACCTTTACTTACATTCGAGAAAACACTCATAACAAGATTGCTTTCTAAAAAATCGAAGAGGCACCGCTATCTGAATCTCAAGAGCCAAACTCCCAACATGATTGCTTTCTTAAAAATCGAAGAGGCATCGTTCCTCGAATTTCGAGAGCCATATCCCCGACAGGATTGCTTGTTCGAAAATCGAAGAGGCATCGCTCTCTAAACTTCGAGAGCCAGATTTCCTTGGATAAATCTTTTCTGCAATTTGCACATGCAACATCAGCTTTCCAGATACCACATACCACTTTTTCAAAGTGCTCTGACAAAGTTAAAACACGTGAAGCTTACAGCTCCCACTACATTACTACGACCAAGAAGGGTAAATGAATAGCATTACTACTTGTTGTTAGGGAGACTCCTATATATGTCGACCTCCATCCTCCACGGACAGTCAGGCCTGCAAAAATGCTCAACCCTTCCTCATATCTGAGAGGGCACTCCCAACGAAGCCTCTTGAAATACTCAGCTTTCTTCCCCCTCAATAATACCTATGCAAACCAGCCACACCAGAGCAAGAGTATCTAATATTATCAGGGTTAAAAGCAAGAATATCACATATCATGCTTTTTCCCTGTCTTTTCCTTTGCCCTTGTTCTTACCTGCAAGACAAGGAGAAAGAGAGCAATCAGTCAGCACTTGGAATCAAGCTTCCAGTCAGGAACTGACTGCCTGTAACCCTTTGCCTGATTACTTACCTGACATTGCTCTCGAGTACACATCTTCAACATCTTATGCTTCCAGAAAAGATACCACATCAGCTTGAGGAACAGATATGGCAAGTGAGAAGGATACAAGGAAGCATGTGGAGATAAGCGCAACAGAACACGTGCCAATCCATCTATTACTTCGTCAACAACAAAAGTATCCCATATCATCAAGGTTGAACGCACTCTTGATTTAATTGACTTGTTTTGACCCTCAAATTCTTGAGTGGCCTTATACTATGGAGGAAACCAGAAAACCCTTCAGTCTAGTTCAAGAATAAGCCTGTGGAAAGTTACTTTTTCAAAAGCAAAAGTATCTCATATCATCTCTTCTCCATTTGCTTCTCCTTATCCTTGTTGCTGTTTACGACACAAGGAGAAGGAGAACAATTAACCGGAAGCCAAAGTCGAACCTCCGATCCAGGTTGCTTGCTTGGAAGTCTGATTGCTTACCTTGTCTGTTACATCTTTCGGCAAATCTCCTAGCTTGGCGATTTGGGGGACTTCTACTATAGGGTTTGTATCGCACTTGACCAAGCTCGAAATTACAAGTAAGCTTCAAGTGAAATTGATACATTACCTTGTGCATTTTCATTGGTTAAAAATACCACCCCTGGATGGAGGAAAAATACTTCCAGAGAAGATGCCACATCTACGTATGAGACAGATAAGGCAAGTGAAAATGATACCACACTTCGGTACTTAGAAGTTTCGTGATTACTCAATGGCTTGGATCTTGCAACTCCCCAACCGAGGATCTTCCCTCACTCGGGAACTTAGGGGAGCACTGTTTGTACCATACTTGACCAATCCCGAAACTACTGAGCACCGGTCAACGTTATACCATCAAGGACCTAGAAGAGTTTCCCTCCAACCAGGAGACCAATCACAGCGTGACACGTGTCGACATCAGAAGCTAATCATAGCAACATCAGAAGCCAATCACAACACGACACGTGTCAATGTCAGAATGAACCTAGAAATTCTCTTCTATAAATAGAGATCATTCTTTCATAATATTTCCTAATGTCATTTGTACTAAATCAGTCACTAGTACTCACTAAAGGAGAGCTTGAACCTATGTACTTGTGTAAGCCCTTCACAATTAATGAGAACTCCTCTATTCCGTGGATATAGGCAATCTGGATGAACCACGTACATCTTGTGTTTGCTTCTCTGTCTCTATCAATTTACATACTTATCAACACTAGTGACCAGAGCAATCTAGCGAATGTCACAAACTTAACACTTTCTGTTGTACCAAAGCCCTCACTGATTTTGTGCATCAACATCCTTTACTAATTATTTTGTTTCTCTACAGTTATACGTAGGGAGGACAAATTTTGTTATTCCAATTTACAATTGTTTTACCAAATTAGCATGCTCCCTTAATATATAGTTTATAGATTTTAATTTTTTTTATATTATATTATAACTTTATTGATAAATTATCTCTTTATTGGTTTATTAATTTACAGTCACGCACATGTCGCCAGTAGAAGGTTACCTTATTCCTACAGTTTTGTGGAATTGTACTCTAAATACTTTGATGATTTCCAAGATGATAAGACGAGTGTGTATGTCATTTGTAAATTGGAGATCAATATTTTTAGGTTATGTTGACTAGTAGGCCAGTGCACTCAAAGGGACATCCATATGAGATTGGATCATCCATTTACATGCATTCTAAGAAAATTCTGACATATCATTTGAAATTGAAAGAGTTTAAATATGATTGGTGCCTTAAGAGTTATCGAAAAGAAATATACCAAAAATATGAAAGAAATAGGAATAGGTGCAAATATATGATCACAATTTTTTCATTCATCGATATATTTACATTACAGAAGAATAAATTGGTTATGTACCTACTATTTCAGACATTCGAATCTAAAACTTTTTACTTACAAATAAAAATGACTATTACTTAACCATACTACTAGCCGCAATTGATGGTCACAGTCTATTTCAACTCATATAGAAGAAATATGTTTCATAAATTGACAAATACGGAGTTTTGTTTTTAATAAAAAAAAGAAGAAATTAGGTTCTCATCCTTCTTTTTGCTACTCCTTTGATCAAAACCTTATTCCTTTTCATTTTTTGATCAAGGTCCTTGGTATTAATAACATCATTAATTATTTCAATAATAAAATATTTTTTATTTCTAAATATATTCACTTAATGTTTAAAATGTTACAATTAGTATATTTAATATTTATGGCTAAATTTTTTATCATATATTTTTATATTTAGTTTGTACCATTTTTTAATTTACCTTTTTTTAATTTGTACCAATTTTCTTTTCAGTTTTAATTTGTACCCATATATTAATTTTTTTTGTGCCCATATTTTATAAAGTTTTATTTGTATTTGTACCCATATTTTTTTATTTATTTAATTTGTACCCATTTTTAATTTTGCTAAATGTACCCATGCTAATTATATGTACCATTCATGTAATTTTTTTCAAATTTTTAATCTTAAAATGTACTCATTCTTAAATATACCAATTTGTTATATGTAAAATGTACCTTTTTCTATATAAAATATATTCAATTTTTTTCTAATCCATTTTTAAACTTATATGGGTACATTCTTTTTTATTTGACTTGAGAATGTATCCATGTTAAGTTTAATCGAAGAAATTTACTCATTTTATTTAGCCTAATGTCTTTTTTTTTTTTTTTTTTTTTGTGATTTTGAAGAATGTACCCATGTTTTGATACACTAATTTGTTGGTTAATTTTTTTATGAATGTACCCATGTTTATACACACACACACACAATAATATATTTATATTTTAATATTTTTAATCCCACAAATTATGGTTTTTTATTTAAAATCTCATTAATACAAACAACTATAAATTTCAATTTTTAATTTTAAAAAAATATAGTAACGTACATAGAAATAAATTATTACATTAATTTCAGGGACTTGGATCAAAAATTGAAAACCAACAAGGTTTTAGTCAAATAATATTCATAGCTAGAGACCGCATCCAAAGTCTCCCTAAAAAAAATTATACAAACGATATTCAATTTAAATTAATATAAAGCTCAGGAAAGGGAATTCAAACTCCTTAAGAATCTTGGAAAATACATCTATATTAATCTAAAGTTCGTAGCTACTTAGTACTACGATCTGATGATATTCCTCTTCACTGGTAAGTGAGAGGTCTTAGGTTCGATTCTGGCCAAAAGAGAACTTGAACCACATTATTGTTAGCCAATTGTGAGGCTAAGCCCACCCCTCCCCATATGGTAGATGATATCGATTGTTCACAAAAAAAAAATAATCTAAAGTTCGTAGATGGTGCTTTACTACAGTGACAAAAAACAATCATTCATATGTTGACTCGTACGAATTTACTACCAACTTTTTTCGTCCTAATAATTAACTGTTTAACCCATTTACGCCATTGTCGTTGGACTCGCCTACGGATTTGGGCTTAAATGTTTGTTTTGTTATGAAATTTGTGTTTGGGCCAAGGATTTGAAATAAAAAGAAAGAAACACATAGAAGAAGCAAAAGGGGATCGGGGCGGTCAGTAGCAGTTACAGTCGAGACTCGATCGAGTCGGAAATGGCTTCCTCTCCATCTCCCCGCCTCCTCATCCGCTTCCCCACTGCAACGCCTCTCCACCTTCAAATCCTCAACTCCCACCTCCGCCACACCAACTACCGCCACCACATCCCCCTTAGACACATTCGCCTCGGACCCAATCTTCTCTGTCTTCCTCTCCCCCTCTTTCTCCTCCACCACCTTCTCCTCCGCCGCCCTCTCCTCTGGCTCCCCCGCCTCCACCGCCGAAAAGCTCCAGCATGCCATCCGCCTCCTCGAGTCTCAGCTCCGCTCCGAGGTTCTCTCCCGCCACTCCGACCTCCTCGCCCAGCTCTCTTCCCTCCACCACGCCGATCACGCCCTCTCCACCGTCAGATCCTCCGTTGCCGCCCTCCAGTCCTCCCTTCGCCACACCCGATCCGAGCTCTCCGACCCCCTCGCCTCCATCCGCACCCTCACCATCCAGCTCCAAAATCTCCATGCCTCCTCCGATCTTCTCCACCACTCCATCAGAGCCCTCCGCCTCTCCAGTAAGCTCCGATCCCTCGCCTCCGACGGCACTGAGCGCCTCGATCTCGCCAAGGCCGCTCAGCTCCATTGCGAGATCTTAGCTCTCTACAACGAATACGACCTCGCCGGCATTGATGTGGTCGATTCCGAACTCGAGTGGGTCAAAGAGACCGGAGACAAGTTGCGTACGGAGGCGATGAAGGTACTGGAGAGAGGGATGGAGGGTTTGAACCAGGCCGAGGTGGGGACTGGGCTGCAGGTGTTTTACAATTTGGGGGAGCTGAGGCAGGCTATGGATCAGCTGATTATCAAGTATAAGGGTATGGGGATGAAGAGTGTGAGTGCAGCATTGGATATGAAGGCAATTTCGGGGTCGGGAGGAAGCGGGTTTGGGCCGGGTGGGATCAGAGGAGGCGGGGGCACGCCGCAGATTGGAGGTGGTGGAAAGGCGAGGGAGGCGATTTGGCAGAGGATGGGGAGTTGTATGGATCAGCTGCATTCGATAATGGTTGCGGTGTGGCACTTGCAGAGGGTGTTGTCGAAGAAGCGCGACCCGTTTACTCATGTTTTGTTGCTTGATGAGGTTATTCAGGTGAGAGGATTTGTCCATTTGTGTTTGCTTTTCAATTGTTTGATTACTTGATTGTGTGTGTATGATTGATAAAAAGCATGAGAATTTACTTGTGCTTTTGTATTCTAGTACTTGCTCACATATGATACCAGCCTCCTTTCTGTATTAGTTGATGGATACATGAAAAAAAATATTACTGGATTACTATTAAATTGGATTAAATTGGACTTATGTCAAACATAATCGTTTAATAGGCAGTTCCTAAGAAAAGTTATCATCTAATACTGGCTCTGCTGAAGTCAGACCAGTCATCAACTGTATTCTACTGTCGAAGTTGGGTTCTCGTTCACTTTCTCTTCAGATCTAATAATTTCGTACCAAGGTTAGCGGTCAATAGTGCACCATGTACCCGTGAGCTGCTACAGTTTGTTTTTATTTACTTTGTGTTTTGGTTTACAAATAGATGACTAATTTTCTGTGTACGATGATTGATTTGCACTACCACGGTACGACCAAAGAGTCACCTACAAAATTGAAGCTTTTAATATGTGTAATTGTTGAATTACCGCCCAATTCTGCTTTTTTAAGCTTTACTGTTATTATTTCATCTCAATGACTTTTCTGCTTGATTGCTAATATTATTGGCAATGGTTGTTACTTCTCATCCTGTCCAAAGTCATTAACTTTGGTTCACGTCATATGTTACTTGCTTAGGAAGGTGAGCCCATGATAACAGATAGAGTGTGGGAGGCCCTTGTGAAGGCTTTTGCCAACCAAATGAAGTCTGCTTTCACTGCATCAAGTTTTGTTAAGGAGGTATTCACTATGGGGTATCCAAAGCTTTTCTCTATGATAGATAATCTTCTTGAAAGAATTGCACGTGACACTGATGTCAAAGGAGTTTTACCGGCTATTACGTCAGAGGGAAAGGAACAACTGGTTGCAGCTGTTGAAATATTCCAAACATCATTCTTGGCACTCTGCTTGGGTCGTCTATCAGATCTTGTGAATACTGTATTTCCAGTTTCCAGCCGTGGAAGTGTTCCCTCTAAAGAACAGATCTCAAGAATTATATCACGGATTCAAGAAGAAATAGAATCTGTTCAGTTGGATGGGCGCTTGACTCTTCTTGTATTGCGAGAAATTGGCAAGGTTCTTCTCTTGCTTGGTGAACGAGCTGAATACCAGGTAATCTTTTAGTTATCTTGCTTAATATAACACCAATGCAGACAAATGATCCTAGTCTTCTTTTGACTGATGTGTAAGGGTCTAAAGCTAGATGTAATTAGCTCAATAAATATGGTTTCCATTGAATACAACTCATACAATTCATGCATTGACTTGTAGTTTCTGCATAATCTCAATCTATTAGTTAAGTTCAAAGTCTGTTCTGTGATGTCTAGGTCCTTGCAATTTTATTCTATGAGGATTTGGGTTTTTAAGAATTTAAAAAACAATCAATGTTCTGAATCAGATTCGTAAGTCAAAGGATAGCCAGTTCTTCTGAAGGGTTGTGCCTTATACCTATGATTGATCTAGCGGAAGGCATTTGAAAGACATTTATATAATAGAAACGTATGCTGACTGCTTTATTTGGACAAGTGATTTTTTGCCCGTGTTCAAATATTTCTCATTGCATTAATACGTCCCCAATGGCAGATATCAACTGGTCCTGAAGCACGTCAAGTCAATGGTCCTGCAACCCCTGCACAGCTCAAGAACTTCATGTTATGTCAGCATCTCCAAGAAATTCATACACGCATATCATCTATGATTGCAGGACTGCCCACTATTGCTTCAGATGTGTTGTCTCCCTCATTAGGTGTAATATATGGGGTTGCTTGTGACTCAGTGACGTCCTTGTTCCAAGCTATGCTTGAGCGTCTGGAATCTTGCATATTGCAAATTCATGAACAGAGATTCGGTGTGCTAGGCATGGATGCCGCTATGGACAACAATGCATCACCTTACATGGAGGAGTTGCAAAAGTGCATTCTTCACTTTCGTAGTGAGTTCCTGTCTAGGGTGTTGCCTTCGAAAACTGCTCCCGTCGGAACAGAGACCATATGCACCAGACTCGTTAGGAGCATGGCTGCACGGGTTTTAATATTCTTTATCAGGCATGCTTCTCTAGTCAGACCCCTTTCAGAATCAGGGAAGCTAAGGATGGCTAGGGACATGGCTGAGCTGGAATTAGCAGTAGGGCAAAACTTGTTCCCAGTAGAGCAACTTGGTGCACCGTACAGAGCCCTTCGAGCATTTCGACCTCTCATCTTCTTGGAGACATCCCAACTTGGAGGATCTCCTCTTCTTCAAGATCTACCACCAAGTGTCGTACTTCACCATCTTTACTCCCGAGGTCCCGATGAATTGCAATCACCATTGCAAAGGAACAAACTAACACCTCTTCAATACTCATTGTGGCTAGATTCTCAAGGAGAGGATCAGGTATGGAAGGGTATCAAAGCAACACTGGATGACTATGCCACGCATGTTAGGGCCCGAGGTGACAAAGAGTTCAGCCCTGTCTATCCTCTAATGCTTCGGCTAGGGTCATCTTTGACTGAAAATGCTCCTGCGACCCAAAAGTCTTGATGTCCGGTGCATCTCTTGTAAGGTACACGGTTTTTCTTTGTTTTGTTTTACTAAAGAATCGCATTAACCTTTTTACTTCTTATGTCGTTTCGGCTAATCATTTTGTTATTTTCTTCAGGATTTATGTCTATACTCGGCAATTTTGATAGGATAATGTGGGGTTCGTAGCTAATCAACTCTGCAGGACAACGAGCGGTACCGGTTCCTCAAAAATTCATTATAATTTGGTTTTGTATCCATTCTTTCTCGTCGCCCTTGTATTTGTGGTAATATTGTCCTCTGTTCATGTAATTATATTAGCTACACATGGTAAATTGTTCTGTTACATTTTCGTATCGGTCAAATTCAAGCTTTATTTCAATATATTTCCCCTCAAACTTTGGTGGTGACTTCAAATAGTTTTAATGTATGTAATCATTCCGGGATTATTCATGGGGGGTAAGAACTAAGAGGAATGTTTTCTTTCCCTCGAATTTTGAAAGCGAAAAAGAGGTTCATATCTTTTTATTTTATGGTACCCTCTATAACGTTTTACTTCAATTGGAACTGTACAAGGTAGAGCTATGTTTGGACGAGGGGTTGATGTCAAGTCAGCAAAAACGGATTGCGAAATATTAGATAGAGGGGATTGGAAGTGTCCTTCATGGGCATTACGAAGGTACGTGAGAGTGATTTGTAAATTTTTACTTAACATGAGTCATTTACAAGTCCCTCTAATATGCATTTTAATGCGCAATTTTAAACCGCTTTATCTAACATTTTGCGGTTCATTTGTTTATTGAATGTTGCTTATCTTTTAGAGTTGTCACGGAAGTTCCATTTCCAGCCTTTCCCTCTGATGACCAAATGATCTAAAACCATTGAGCAAGGAGGACTGTGCTGTGCATCTCCAGTTCCATTTCCGTTCTTTGTTAATGTTGCTTCAGGACATATTTCATTGAAACTCCCCCAAAAAAATTCCAACTAATTAGGCATCCACAAGACACTTTCACCACAATGGTGGATAAGAGTTGTGCCCTTGTATGATGGCGTGGTTCGAATCCCATCGGTGACTAATCTAACAAAATCTATCATTTAACAAAAAAAAAAAAAAAATGACACCTTTTAATTTTGCCTACAATAGCTTGCTTAAAGTGGTTAGCCAAAAGAGGAAAAAGATAAAAACTGTTGGCCGAAGCTTGTTCTCTCCTTCTCACTTGATAATTCAATCTCATTAAAAAAGAAGATCAATGTCATCAAAAGATGGGTAAATTACACTGTACCCCCTCAGGTTTGGGATCTATTACAATCACATACATCTTCAAAACATTTCACTTTCATACTTCACCTACTATTTTATTTCAATATAGTACCTCCGTTACATGTTCCATCCATTGATCCGTTAAGAGCTGACATGACGGCTACAGCTGTGCCACGTGGCAATTTTTTTTTTTTATTCATTTAAAATATTATAATAATTTATCCTTAAAAAAAAAAAAAAACCAAATTGAAACCCACCTCCGCGCAACCCCCTACCCTTGCAAGCAAACCCCCACTCGACCCACCTCCCTCTCCTCCCATCATCACCGCAGCCCTACCCCATCACCATCGCAGCCCCCATACCACTCCTCCTACTTCATCTTCCCGACCTACCTTCTCCCTTGTCCACTCTCTCCTCCACTATTTAAAATTTTAAAATAATAATAAAAAAAAACCAAACAAACCCAGAAACCCATCTTCTCCCTCCCCTCCCGACCCCCATCACCTTCACCGAGCCCAAACACCTCCACCTTCGATGCTCTTCACCGCCACCATGTCCAACCCTCTCATCCTCACACTCCTCCTCCACCTACTCGCCACAACGGGGCCCACTACGACCACGCTCCCTTCTCTTTCCCCAAAGACCCACTCTCTTCACCGCTTGTTCAAGCCCAATCGGGGCTCCCAAACCCCGTCACATAACCCTTCACATTAAATCTGAAACAAACCCACCAACCCATAAACCAAATCAGAAAGAATCACAAAAATAAAAAAAATTGCAAGTAAATGCAAAATAACGAGAAAGAGATGTCGAAGATAGCAAAGGAGAGGGAAGCGAGGGGTTGAGTGGCGGCGGGGGGAGGGGGTTGAGGGAAGGGAAGGAGTTGGAAGCGGGGCTCTATAAATGGTTCGGACATAAAGATTTGGATTCCGGTTCAGCGTCGTCTTCGGCGGTGGGTCTCGGCTAGGGAAGGGGAGGTGAAGAGAGTGGAGGAAGGAGAAGGTGGGTCGAGAAGGTGAAGAGGGAGGAGTGGTCTGCGATGGTGATGGGGAAGGGTTGCGGTGGTGATGGGAGGAGAGGGAGGTGGGTTGGGGAAGGTTTCTAGGTTTGTTTGCAGGGGTGGGGGGTTGCGCGGAGGTGGGTTTCAATTTGGGTTCTTTCTTTTTTTTGGGTAAATTATTATAATATTTTAAATGAATAAAAAATTATTTTTTGGCCACGTGGCACACATTTGGCAGTCACGTCAGCTTTTAACGGATCAATGGATGAAAAATGTAATGGAGGTACTATATTGAAATAAAATAGTAGTTGAGGTATGAAAGTGAAATGTTTTGAAGACGTTATATGCGATTGTAATATACCCCAAACCTAAGGGGGTACAATGTAATTTACCCTTAAAAGATTATCAAATATTTCATGATAGCGATTTTAACACTTTCTCACCTCATCACTAGCCAAGAGACAACGAGCTAGAATAAGTTCGAGAAATTTTTGTGTGATTGGGAAACACCAACACATTGTATTATCATTTATGTGTTATAATATTAATGGATGATATAGTTAATATGTTCTACTTGTGGGATTAAAATTAAAACTATACAAACAACAACAATAAAGCCTTTTCCCACTAAGTGGGGTCGGCTATATGAATCCTAGAACGTCATTGCACTCGATTCTGTGTCATGTCCTTCGTAAGATCCAAATACTCTAAGTATTTTCTTAGAATCTCTTCCAAAGTTTTACTAGGTCTTCCTCTACCCCTTTGGCCCTGGACCTCTTTCCCGTAGTCGCATCTTTTAACTGGAGCGTCAGTAGGCCTTTTTGCACATGTCCAAACCACTGTAACTGATTTTCTCTCATCTTTCCTTCAATTTTGGCTATTCTACTTTACCTCAGATATCCTCATTCCTAATCTTATCCTTTCTTGTGTGCCCATACATCCAACGAAACATCCTTATCTCCACTACACCCATTTTATGTACATGTTGATACTTCACCGCCCAACATTCTGTGCCATACAACATCACTGGTCTTATTGCCGTCCTATAAAATTTTTCCTTGGGCTTTAATGGCATACGACGGTCACACAACACGCCGGATGCACTCTTCCACTTCATTCATCCAGCTTGTATTCTATGGTTGAGGTATCCATTTAATTCTCCGTTCTTTTGCAAGATAGATCCTAGGTAGTGAAAACGGTCATTCTTTGATACTTCCTGATCTCCGATCCTCACCCCTAACTCATTTTGGCCTCCATTTACACTGAACTTGCACTCCATATATTCTGTTTTTGATCGGCTTAGGCGAAGATCTTTAGATTCCAACACTTCTCTCCAAAGGTTAAGCTTCGCATTTACCCTTTCCTGAGTTTCATCTATCAACACTATATCGTCTACGAAAAGCATACACCAAGGAATATCATCTTGAATATGTCCCGTTAACTCATCCATTACTAATGCAAAAAAGTAAGGACTTAAGGATGAGCCTTGATGTAACCCAACAGTTATGGGGAAGCTTTCGGTTTGTCCTTCATGAGTTCTTACGGCAATTTTTGCTCCATCATACATATCCTTTATAGCTTGGATATATGCTACTCGTACTCATTTCTTCTATAAAATCCTCCAAAGAATGTTTCTTGGGACCCTATCATACGCTTTTTCCAAATCTATAAAGACCATGTGTAAATCATTTTTCCTATCTCTATATCTTTCCATCAATCTTTGTAAGAGATAGATTGCCTCTATGGTTGAGCGCCCTGGCATGAACCCGAATTGGTTGTCCGAAACCCGTGTCTCTTGCCTCAATCTATGCTCAATGACTCTCTCCCAGAGCTTCATTGTATGACTCATTAGCTTATTACCCCTTTAGTTCATGCAATTTTGTACGTCACCCTTATTCTTGTAGATAGGCACCAAAGTGCTATTTCGCCATTCATTTGGCATCTTCTTCATTTTCAAAATCCTATTTAAAATGTATGTGAGCCATGCTATACCCGTCTCTCCTAAGACTTTCCACACTTCGATTGTATATCATCTAGGCCCACTGTTTTTTTATGCTTCATCTTTTTCAAAGCTACAACCACTTCTTCCTTTCTGATTCGATGGTAAAATAAGTAGTTTCTACAGTCTTCTGAGTTACTCAACTCCCCCAAAGAAGTACTCCTTTCATGTCCTGCATTGAAAATATTATGAAAATAACCTCTCCATTTGTCTTTGACTGCGTTCTTTGTGGCAAGAACTTTTCCATCCTCATCCTTATCCTTGATGCACCTCACTTGGTTTAGGTCCCTTGTCTTTTTTTCCCTTGCTCTAGCTAGTTTATAGATATCCAACTCTCTTTCTTTGGTAAATAGTAGTTTATACATATCGTCATAAGCTACTAGCTTAGCTTATCTCAGAACTTTCTTCTCCTCCTGCTTCGCTATTCTATACCTTTCACCATTTTCATCAGTCCTATCCTTGTATAGGGCTTTACAACATTCCTTCTTAGCCTTCACCTTTGTTTGTACATCCTCATTCCACCACCAAGATTCCTTTTGGTGTGGAGCAAAGCCCTTGGACTCTCATAATACCTCTTTTGCTACTTTTCGGATACAACTAGCCATGGAATCCCACATTTGGCTAGCTTCCCCCTCTCTATCCCACATGCATTGGGTGATTACTTTCTCTTTGAAAATGGCTTATTTTTCTCCTTTTAGATTCCACCATATAGTCCTTGGGCACTTCCAAGTCTTGTTCTTTTTTCTCTCTATTTTGATATGTACATCCATCACCAACAAGCGATGTTGATTAGTCAAGCTCTCTCCTGGTATAACTTTGCAATCCTTACAAGTTATACGATCCCCTTTCCTCATTAGAAGAAAATCTATTTGTATTTTTGCCGACCCACTCTTGTATGTGATCACATGTTCTTCTCTCTTCTTAAAGAAGGCGTTGGCTAAGAAGAGATCATATGCCATCGCAAAATCCAAGATGGCTTCCCCATCCTCGTTTCTCTCCCCAAAACCATGGCCACCATGAAAACCTCCATAGTTGCATGTCTCCTTGCCCACATGTCCATTTAAATCTCTTCCTATAAATACCTTCTCCATCTGAGCAATTTCTTGCACCAAGTCTCCAAGATCTTCCTAAAATTTCTCATTCAAACTCG